AACTGCGATACCAGCGGTCAATAAAGTGTCCGACTACTCAAACATCCAGGAGCTAGCAAATCCCTGGAGCAGCAGGATTGGAGTTACAAGCAAGTGCTGCACATATGGGCAGAGAATTAACTGGCAGCAGTTTTCATTTGAGAGTCTCTCAGGTATTGCTTTGCAGATGGGTGGATGAATTCAGACAGCCGTGCTGTGAGGAGTGAAGGTCATGTGTAGGACTTTGGTTTCAATCTATCATGATCTCTTATCCCGAGAAGCACTGTGCACATGTTAAGCAGTCAGGACCTCATCTCTGAGTTCAGAATAGAGATAGCACGCTTTATCATTTGAGCTGCTCTAAATTAGCAGCGTGTTGATCACTGCATAACAAAACAGTGCCACTAAATCTTCAGAGACCAAGTAGAAATCAATTTTTATTTCAAATAAGAACAAAGACTTCAAAGATTGACTTCTGCGTATCTAATCTGTTAATCTCACAATTTTTCCCTAAGGAAAATTGAATGACACTGACGTCTACATCATGCTTACTCTTTTCTTCTGTTACCACCAGGATGCACTTCTCTCCCAAGAATACCTATGAGTGGATTAGTCAGCCTGTTCTCAGTCCTGCCACATTGAAGACGGCAGCCACTTTTTGTCCACACTCATTTTCATCACATGTTTCTAACCTGTCACCAGTTGCACATGGTTTGACCACCAGTGTATTCTTTCTGTTCACATCCAGATCTGGCTTAGCTCCTCCTCTCCTGAAGCTCCTTTGTATACCTTTCGTGTACTCAAACCAGTAGACAATAGTTCAAGCTCATTGGCTTCACCAGTCTGAATTCTTTCCCGCTGAGACTCTTGTCCTCCCCTTCAGTGTGAGTTGTTTCCTAGTCTCCTTCAAGACCCCTTCTGTTCCATCTTTCATCGAAATCTTACTGAACTATGCTCCAATTGAGCTGTAGACTATTGTCCCTGGGTGATCTAGCCCACTTCTCTCTCACTTATTCTCTCTAACATCCCATGGCATTTAGGAGCCTTAATAATAATACATATAATCATGCACCATATAAGAGCATCTTCCCTTCATTTTTAACCCTGTTTTTCAGCAAGTCCGTTGGTTCCACTGCCAAACCATCTATGGACCACATATACGGTGCTGGCCCCTTAACATTATGTCGCTTTGTGACATGGCTGCCATTGTAATTTGTGAAAGTGAATTCTGTGATGTTCGCACTGTTATGAAATTACCTAGAAATGCATCTCAGAACACATCTAGTCCTTAAGTAACACTGATCGTGTGTGTGTTATGTATTCAAGGGGTGGTCAAAAACTAGTTATAACAGTAAAAGACGTTTTGGGGCTGGGGATTTAGCTCAGTAGTTCTACCGCCTGCCTCTGAAGCGTAAGGACCTGAATCCAATCCCCAGTACCCCCCCAAAAGACATTTTGCTATTAATCCCTCTCAAAATATACATACTCATTTTGAATATTCTTATTCATTCTTTATTCATTCATTCTTGCCACTTTCTGAAGCAGTTCTGAAAATGCTTTTTTGTGAATATCCCTACTAGATGTGATAAAAACCGTGGTGAATGCTGCTGTTTAGTGCCATATTTAATGAGAAGGCATGCTCAGAAATGCATTACGGTGTGTCCTTGTTCACCTTATTTGCTGAATCTGGTACTGTGTGACTTCTGGCTCTTTTCTAAAGTCAAAATGAAAGGTAAATATTTTGAATTAATTCAGGACCTCAAGGCAGCCATGATAGCACTACAAAAGACGTTATGCCTTTCAGTCCTATATGAAAAAAAGAACAATTAAGATAATACAAACATCTCTATAGTCTTAAAGTGGAAGATGTGGGAATTTGGATTTGGTTTTATAGCAGTGTAGGAGTAGATGAAATGAAACTGAGGAAAATATTCAGTTAATACACCCAAAAGGCCAGGGAAAATGTAAAGGCAAAATCTGAAGATGAGAGATGGTTAATGGCAGCCGTGATTTTTTTAAGAGCAGTTAGATTAACCCGCTTCTGTATCTCTGCCCAACAAACTTCAAGGTGATGGGTTACCATGTATTAGAAAATGTTACATCCTGAGTTAAACTTATTAAACTCTCTAAAAGTGAAAAGAATTCTAGTTAAATGCCTCAATTATCCCCTCCCTCCAGATCTTTAAAAATCTTTACTGAGCCCTCTAAAATTTCTGGTAGATATCACTTGAATTTCCAGATACGGTACATTATTTTCTTTACAAAAAAACACAAGCTAAGAATTAGGGGCAGGTTTTCTTGGTTTTATTGTTTCATTCTAAATGAGTGAAGTTACAGGGATTTTTTTTCTCAAGATGTGGCTTCAAATTAATATTTTTTATTCCAAATAATTTAATGGTAATTTATGCTATGTGGTTTGTGAACAAAGTGAACATTTTTCCCAAATAAAAAGAAACCAAATACATGCAAATAGTCCTGGCTTTAGCATATTCTCTTTAGAAAGCAAATTTTTTAGCCTTCTTAAAATTATCAAGAGTTTCAAAGGAATATGGGGTATAATAGTCAGTGTAATAGAAAACATTGCCATTATTCCCCTCAAAATACTCCAGCTTGCTTCAGACACACAACAGTCTTCCTTCTTGTCGCTTCTGAAGCAGCTCTGGAAGTCCTCTTTCTTGTCTTTAGCTGCACAGTTATGTGAGCCAGGATGTCCTGAATCAATTGCAAATTCTTACTTTTCATAGTCATTTTGACTTTGGGGAAGAGTCAGAAGTCTCACGCGGCAGGTCTGGTGAATAAGGTGGATAAAGACATACTGTGCTGTTTTTAACAAGCCTGCTTTTCCATCGAATAACACTTGGCAGCAGCATTCACTGCATTTTTTTTAAATCATAGCTCATAAAGATGTTCATGACACAGAACTTCTTGAACTGCTTCAGAAAGAAGGGTGGATGAGTGTGTTTGAAACCAGGTGCCAGGTTGGGGAGGGGGTGTATTTTGAGAAGGAGTAATGGCAACGTGTCTTTTACTATAACAATTTTTAAAAATGTAAGCTCACCATATATTTTGATCATACAAGTTAGGGGTGGCAAATGAAGGCTGTTGAGAAGTATAAATAGCAATTTAACAGTGCAGATAAATCGACAAAATGAATCCTTGTTTACTGGAGGAAAAAAAAAATCTTTTTCTTCAGGGGCCTAAGGAAGCCCAGATGCAAAGGCATGATAAATTTCATTGCATCAGGGGGAAGAATATTTGTTGATTCTCTCTCTCTAAAGAATCTAGGCTTCTCAGCACTTCCTCTTTGAATTGCTTTGATTGTGCTCTCTGTCATAAAGTTAATGGCATCTGTTGAAGACATCACTATAAAATTTGCAACCTTAAGTTAATTGAAAAATTTCAGTAGAGATGTAGCCACTCCAGAAGTCCTCAAGGTAACACTAAACTTCTCCTCCTTAATGTGTTAGTCTATTCTTTTTTTGCACAATAATAATAAATTGTTTACCTTTACAGCCAGGTATTGACTGTAAAATGAAATCTTCTATTCCTTATAGCTGATTACAATTGTCCCTTTTGCTAAGAAACCAGTACTGTGGCAACTGGCTTGCTGTTAGGGATGAAACACATCATCCTTGTTTATTTTCCAGTTTTCAAGAATGCACGGGATTGCTTTGCAGCTTTTCCTCACCTCCTTACTGAAACCAGCTACAGGCCCACACACAGTCCTCAGACAATTCCACCGATCTAATTAAACATGCAGAGGGAAGCAGGGTGGTCTGGAGTGTCTTGAACTTGCCCTCGCCAGCTGCCTGCCAAGCTTTCTCAATGATCAGCAGCAGGTTGAGTGGGCTAATGGAGAAAGTAACAAGCCCCGGAGGAGCTGCCCTCCTTCCTTGAGCAATCAGCACTCTGCTCTGCCTCCGAAGGACTTGGGGAACACGTGCTGCCAGTTTTTGTGTTGCTGTGGCTTTTAGAGGATGCCTGGCCAGGCAGTCCATCACTTCGGAGCACAGAGACTGTTGAGGAAAATATTGACAAGGGGTAATCCTGCTGGCTGCTCCAGAGTTGCTAGGATAGATCTGGGTTGTTTTAGAAATAGGTCCAGATGGCTGGTTTCTTCCTTGTATTTTATGATTATTTTTGACATATCTCTGTATGTGTGCAAGAGAGACAGACAGAGAGAAAGAGACAGTGAGATAGGCAGACAGACTGAGTGAAAGACAGATGAGAAAGACACCAGGGATTGAACTCAGGGAGCACTGAGCTGTATCACCAGATGTTTTTATTTTATTTTGAGACAGTCTCACTATGTAGCACAGACTGGCCTTAAACTTGGGATCCTTTTACTTCAGCCTGTCAAGTAGCTAGGATTACAGTTATGTACCATCACACTTGGCCATATCGCCTCTTATTGTGTACTTTGTAATATAAACATTTATTTGTGAAAACTCAGACTTTTTATTAAGGTTGTCTCCCCCAAACAGAAAGCACCTCCCAATTAAAGCATATACTTACCCATCCATCCTAAGCTTCGAATTATTAGCATACATGACACATCATACCCAAGATATTTATATATTTATTATTCTATAGGGCTGAAATACTTAAGTTACTAAAGATTCAGAGGACTATGGGTTGGTGATCTGGGCACATGTGTGTATTCATGTGTCTTGCACACATGGAAAGCTGTGATGGAATTTGCCCCCCCCCCCATCTCTAGTCCAAGTAAAACACTGGTGAGGGCAAGGATATTTTGCAGAAATGTAAAGACACTTATTACTAAGGAGAAAATTGTAGATGTGGTTCATGGTATAAAAACAAAATCATGTCTTTGTCAATAGGGGAGGGTGGAGGGGGTGAAGGGAGGGCAGGGGTTTGGGGAAAAAATAAGAACCAAGATCTGTCATGCAAAGGTACAAGATCCCAATGATGAATGTAATTGTACTATATACCTAAAAAGTACCAGTAAATTCAATTAAAAAAAAATCATGTTGTAACTATTTTCTCCTTTTTCTCTACAGGAAATAGCCCTCAAGATAGTCCAAGAAATTTCTCCCCCAGTGCCTCAGCCCATTTTTCATTTGCACGGAGGTAAGGACTTGAGAGTGGAGTAGTAGTATTACATAGCATGTCCCATTTCCCTGCCCCTGTCCTGCTTCTTACCCTTTTCCCACCATCTGTCTTGTGAGCTCCTGGTTACAAGGACTTTGCAGAAGCTTCTCTGGCCGAAAGATGTAGGTGTAACACACCTGCTTTAACAGTTTTAATAATGACCTCTGCATAATGTTAGATTTATAGGTCCATCTCTTGGTCCTTCCATAGGCGGGGAGGTCCCAGTAAGGGCAATAAAGCTGCTTTCCATCTTTTCTCCCATCCCTAGTGCATGCCTTCTATTCCCTGGTGCATGCGTGGCTGTTTCTCAATGGATTTTTTTTTTCCTAAATTATCTGAGCTGATAAAACAGAGGCTCAGTTCATCTGTGTCTCAGTGCAATTTGTTGTTGAAACACTTTTTACAGAAATTACCTTATTGAGGTCACAAGGTAGAAACTGTGAGATGCCCTAGTATTTGGGAACATTAAGCCATCCATTCAGTGATCCCCCTCAGGAAAAAAAAAATACATACCTGTAGAACATTTTGGGTTTTCTCCTTATCATATTTATAAATACGCACCAAAGAGTAAAGAGCTATGTCTTCTCTCTGGGGCACTGAGAGAAGGGGCTGGGTGGAGGACAGTTGCTCAAAATGACTGAACACCCATTCTTTTCAAGGATGGTCTTCTACTGTGGTTTAGCCAAGGCAGAAGTGTGCACTCAGCCATTTCTCTGTGTTTTGTATGGAATCGGTGTACTTCACCCTGTCAGATTCAAACATTTGCCTTTACCTCTGTTCCTCTCATCTTCTGACATACATTCCTTGTCCTCTTCTACCCGAGAAAAACAGAGAAAGTGAAATATGCTTTCAGTCAGACCTCTGCTTATTCAGGATAAATTTGCTTTGTGGTCTGAATGCCCTAGATCTTTGCTAAATTTTCACCAGAGACCCAACTTTGTCCTGAAATGGATTAATGTAGCACTTAGCAAAAGCACAGAGGTACATTTTTAAAAATACGTGTTCTTACCCATGACATTAATCAGCAAAATCTGAAGTATTCTCATTGCTGTTTGTCAGCACACAATATATTTTATGTTACAAAATCCAGAGAGAAAGATACGCTTACAGCATTTTTCAGAATTCCGTATAATTAAGATTCCAATATAAGCCTCAAAAAGAGTGTTCTTTCATTAGTTTAGTCATTTCTCATCTATGTGTAGTCCCACGGTGAGAAAGATACTAGAGAAATGAGGATATCATCTCCAAAGACCTCATTAAGATCCATACTCCCCTGGACCCTCCCTAAATTCCAACTTTAATTTTTTCAGTTCCTCATACTGGGTACTGTAAAAAATATATGAAAACTAGTCTGAAAAAGTCTGCCTGTCCAGACAGTTAATTCATAGTAGTGCTACTACTCCAAGTGGGGAGAAAACCCATAACAATCAATAAACAAATACTCGCCATAATCTTTAAAGCACATCTATTTTTAAAAATGAAAACACCTTGAGGAATAAAAAAAATGCAAATCACATTACAGCATGCATTTAAAACATGACAGAAATCATAGTCTCTTAATCTTGCCAGATTTATAAAAATGAAGAGAATCTAATAATTAAGTGGCTGGATGAAGGACAGATGAATATGGTTTCTCTGTGCTATGAAAAATATACAAACCCTCAAGCATGCTAATTTTTGACAAATAAACCATAAAGCGTGACAGGAGATTATCACAGGAGACCTCTGGTTCATTTTGCATGAAATCCAGCTGGAACTCCCTCCATACTGTTCAAAGAGTGTTAATTCAGATTAGTACATGAACGATCATCTTTTTAAACTTGTAGTCAAGTAAACAGAACCTTGTGTTCATTATAAAAATTCAAATTGACATTTTGTATTTAACATCTGGGAATCTTTCTCTTCTATTCCAGAGCTGATTTTCATTTAGGAACCATGGAGAATCTATCCAGGGGTCTCTACTCCTTTCCATTTGCTGTGAATTTCTGAGCTTTTAAGCATAAATGCCATTTTGAGACTCTCACAGTTTATTGTTTTGTAAATTTAGTCTGAGAGAGGAAATACCGGGCTATCTTTAAAATTATTCTTGGGTGAAGATTTAAAGGTCAGGCTTATGAATCTGTTCTCACATTATGACAATATTCTCCCGGTAGACACTCTCTGTAATATAGTAGTCAGATTACAGACCATAAAGTATGATGGAACACTTGCTTTTCATAGTTCTTAATACAGATTCAAGACTAAAAGTTTTAAGTTAATTTTTAAGACGGAATTTTAAAAGGATAAAAATGAGCATCATAATATCACAGATTTTATCTGAAGAAAGGAAACATTTTCAAGTTGCTCATTATAACACAGATTGAGCATCCCTAATAAAGAAAATTCAAAATCCAGAATGTTCCAAATTCTGAAATGTTTTGAGCACTATTAAAACTTTTATGAGCAGCAAAATGATGCTAAAGAAAATTTCAGATTTTAGATTTTTTTTGTCTAATTGGAAGCACTTCTAGTCCCAAGAAAGTGGGAAACTCAGCCTGTACTAATTTACAGTCCATCTGATTGTGGAGTTACTTTACTGTTTTCTTCCCCTGCTGGTAGAGGTAATAATGTCGCACCTGTCTCAGAAGTTTCCAAGGTTTTCTTGTTATAAAATGCTTTCACTTTCATTGGAGATCTAGTGCTCTTGAATAAATGTTTTAGATCTCTCCTAGTTGGCTAGTTGTCACTTTCTGCCTTTTTTTTTTTTTTTTTTTTTTTTTTTTTTTGGTGCCAGGGATTGAACTCTGGACTTTGTGTTTGCAAGGAAGGTGGCTGCACCACTGAACTAAATCCCGGCCCAGCTCATTGTCATTTACCAGGTTAAATCTCAATATATTCCACAGGCAAATTAGTAGAAGAGATTTGCCTTTGAGGTTACACCATCATAAACTCATTAAGCACTGCTAACTAGGCATCCCCCTCTTTAGAGTGGTGCCTCAGTTCACGAATTTAATTCTTCCCACAGTTCTGGTGGCAGAAGTGCAATTTTGGAACCAGAATTGTGGAATGAATTTTTGTGAGCAGAATGTTGGGAAAAATTCAATTCATGAATGAAGGCACCATTATAATCTTTTAGAATTCTTTCTGGAGTAGTTTTTAGTTTGTTATATCTGCACAGTTCAATTTGTTTGTCCTTTACTTAAAATATACAGTGTATCACCCCTGATGACTACAACAATCAAATGAGGAAATCTGTTTCCTCTTCGTACAGTTAAAATTGCCAAATTGTTATCATTTCATTTTTTTTTTATTAATCTAAATTTTTGTGAGTAGTGCTGAAGTGGCTTTACCAATTTCTTTGTATCCTGTGTTCCCATCAGATGTTTTTCCCTTCTTATTTTTCATTTAATGTAACACTGAGTTTTCCACCCACAAGGAAAAGACTCCTTCCAAAACAAAAAGCCATGTTGCTTTGGGTAAGGATGTAGTTTTGTCTTTGGATAACATTTTATTAGTAGCTACTGCAAGGAAAAAAATAGCTTTTTTGAAAAAGTAGGCATGTGTTCTCATAAGTACTGTATTTAGCATATATAGTAACTTCTGATGTGCAGTTGTCATGGTAATGAAAATGCTGTGGCCCTTTTGCTCCATTTAAGTAAACAGACATGGAGAACTTATGAAACTTTATAAGACAGATTATTTCTGGTCAATAGCTGTACAGAGCACTAAGCACATTCATGTTTAGACATCCTTCTAGTTGTATGTTTTCTGGACTAAGTAAATGTATGCTTTATAACTAATAAGAATATGTCTCCTCTTGGAATTGTTCATCCATCTGAAATGTGTTCATTGATACCGGAGGGAAAGGAGAGTTAATGAATCACAAAACAAAATCATGATAGGGGAAATTGTGTCCCTCATGCTTTCCAGAGACTAGTTTCTGATAATTGCTATTAAATGGACTGAATGACTCTTTTAAAATCATATTCTTTTCTTTTCTAAATTGGAAGTACTTAAAATATACCTTTTCTAATGGGAAGTGTTTTTAAAAGGCATGGGTTTTAAAGACTTTGAATGGTAGCAAGTAAAATAGGGTGAACCTGTGTCCATAATTGATAGTTGGATATCTTTATAAATGTATTATAATTATTTCCTTCCTAAAACTTTAATATTTTAAGTTGTCTAAAGTGCTTTCAAACTACATATAACTTAGTTTTCCAAATTCATTTTATCTGATATAAACAACTTATTTTGCTTCTTTTTTTTTTTTTAACTACTTGATTCAATTGTACTCCAATCATGGTCACAGAAATGACAGGTAAATTCTACTGAAATCTTAACATTGTAGTAGTTCCGTGATTTGTCCACTTGATTTTCTTTGTTTTGTCTTTGTGGACCATTTGCATTTATTGGAGGTACCATCCATGGTAGCCCATGATAATATAGTTTCCTTTGAATGTCAGGGTAGACTGTCAGTTTTTTACATGAACATCTAATTGTGGTTTTTCAAATTCAAATCTAGGGCTATTGAATTCTCTGACTTCAGTGTATTGTGAATGTATCTATGGGAAATTCTGTCTCTTTTTGTCTCTCCCTTGGTTGATTAATATAATCACAAATTATAAAACAGTATATATATGACGCTGTATGTAAAAATACAGTGTTGTTCTGCATAATGTATGTTTTTCCTATTTTTCTCCTTGGCAAATTTGCATGTATTTGTTTGCACCATTTTTTTAAGGCACAGTCTTATTCAAAATTTCCAAAAAAGCTTTAGCTCTAGAATGCCAGAGATCGCAGGTAATCTTCTATGTGGTATCCCCCTGCCCTAACAGCAGTATTGCCTTTGTTATTGTATTAACTCATCATACATCCTTGTAGTGATTCTAATTCATGATTAGAGTCCAACTCAGAGCCACCATCTTCACATCATTAGAACATAAAAAGCAACACTCTCCCAAGCTCCTGACAGCTCTGCTTCTAACACTGGAGAAGATGTTGTATTCCTTGCCATAGGTTCTATTATGCATAAGAAATTTCTCCTTCTGCCCTACTGTCCATGACGAGAGCTGGGCTTTGTGCTCAAAAACTCTGCAGGAGGCTCTGCTTCAACACTATGAAACCAGGTCATGTCAGAGGCAGTAACTCTTCAGAGATTCTGAGCAGTCACTTTCTTAGTGCTAAAATTATTTGCCACTTAGTTTTCACCAGCCATTGCTTCCTCTCTCCCTAAATGTGATGAGCGGAACTGTTCCCTTGGAAATCCTAAGTGGAATGTGTTAAAGAGGCACTGAACCTCCCCAAAGGCATTGGTACGATGCTGGAATTCAGGCCCTTGTAAAGACTATGGGCCATAGTTATCAGTGCCCAGATGTGAATGCCCACTCCCTTTCTATTTGTATTCATTTGAATCTGCTGAGTCTGACCGTTGTAATTATCCCTGTTATTCATTTTGTCAAACTGTATTAGTGAGAGATCAATACTATGGATCAACCCATTCACTTTCTACTTGTTTGGATGTATTGATTCATTTTAAATAAAAGTCAACCTGCTGTATAATGTTTGTTTACCCTGATCCTGGCTGAACATTTCCACATCCTCACAGACTATGTTTGTGTCATTCATTTGACTAAAAAATATTCATTTCCCTGGGGTTCCCATGTAACAATACTCCAGGGTTGGCCTTAGCTAAACTCCCTTTCTCAACAGGACTGATGGTCGCCGCTGGTCCCTGGCTTCCCTCCCTTCTTCTGGCTATGGGACAAACACACCCAGCTCCACCGTCTCTGTAAGTGCCTGATTTTTTTTTTTTTTTTC